TCAGTATAACTTACGGAACAGTGACTTCGAACTGCCAAGATTCGAAACTGTAAGATTTGGTAGGAATTCTATTAAATATATGGGACCTCTCATTTGGTCGAAGTTACCAATACACCTAAGAACGATAGAAACTCTAAATTCGTTCAAGAAGAACATAAGAAAAGTTAACCTTTCAACTCTTGCTGAGACTTAAAACTTAACTAAATAACTTTATAATCTTTTAAATTATCTACCGTAAATAAAAATTATCTACATATGTAAATGTATTTGACTTTTAAATTTTTTAGTGTCCCACATTAGCTTATAGCTAAAAACATAGACACTTAAAGTTTTTCATTCATTCACTCATTAACGGTCTACCCTGAAATAAGAGGTATCATAACTGCTAATAGTAACGGACAATACAATAAAAGAGTACCGCCCGAGGCCGTAGGCCTCAGGCGGTACTCAAGACCGAGGGCACAGGTTTTCCCAATACGGACCGGCCTATGCTGGTGAATAACATTTTTATTTTTTTCTAACACATAAAAAAATGATTGCCAAAATAACCCGAATGATTTAGGGCTACAATTACGAGTTTAATTATGGGAAAATCCTCCTTGAACTTGAAAATTTGATAGCGAGTGAGTTATAAAGAAAACAAACGTTATTCAAATTAAAGAGAAAGCTCTCGTATTTTTATTTGTCAAGGTAATTAAAAGGTTCCGAGAAAATTTTGAAACATTTTTTGATAAGTAACTGTCACGATGTGACACCTGTCAATTGAAGAGGAAAGAAGGATACGCTTTTGAAACAACAAAAGTACTGGTGTAGCAAACACTCACGAGTTAAGTCCTTTACCGTTAAGTTTTAATCGATTTAAAAACGCAAAAAAACATGAAAAAAATTAGGTCCCCGTTTTACTAGTCTAGTCTAGTCCAGTCCAGTCCACGAAATACCATATGCCCAGTAGGAGTAGGGAGGTGCTATTATGATTGATATTTCTTCTGTTTTCTTCTGTTTCATCTTTTTAGAAGTTTCAGGACTTAGCAAAAGCTTGCAAGTGACAGAAAAAGACATGAAGAGCTGTTTAGCCTATTTGAAAAGACAGCAGAACTCTTGAGTACTTGAGTATGAAAAGCAAGTCTTGTCCTTTAGTGGGATTAAGGAAAGGGTTTAAATTCGCAAAATTATAAAATCGTCCTTAAGTCAGTGTATCCAATTTCAAACCTTTTTGACCTCATTCACAAATAAAAGATACAAAATAAATGGACGATGTCAATAGATGTTGAGTTTTTATGAAATGATTTAAGGGTTAATCATCATCATCATCATTATCATACTCTATTTGATATAATTTGGATATATCAACAAAGTTGAAGTGGTAAATTGGCCACCGTAACGATTCCAAAAGCTGACGTTTCGAGCGTTAGCCCTTCGTCCTATTCGCTCCGACGAAGGGCT